TAGTGGAATAAAAGTATTCCCGTGACGCGCTAAATTTTCTGAAGAGGCGACGCTAGGAACGGCGCTGGGAACCTGGGCAGCGCAGGGAGGTGGTGGAGTCACCATCCCTGGAGGTGTTTAGACGTGGGCACTTAGTGCCATGGTCTAGTTGACAAGGTGGTGTTAGGTCATAGGTTGGACTTGATGATCTCAGAGGTTCTTTGCCAACCTTCATGATTCTGTGAACCAGGTAAGCCACAATGATTTTTAACGTACCCATCCCAAACGCAAAAGCTAATGCACTAATTAACTAACTCCCTGTGCTACCTAGAACAGGATCAGTCACAGTATTTCCAGTTGTCTGCGGTGTGTAAGTTGTAGTAGGCAGCGCAGAGGGGATCACTAGCACTAAGAAAAGTGTAAGAAAACCACAATACCGAACCTTATATCTGCTTCAATTTTTCCTACACTTTTGCGGTGCCTGCAGTTAGCACATAAAATAAGCTTTTACCTGGTGTTCGTTAATGCAGATAGAATCGACACTCTAAATAACTGGAAGTAAAAATTAGTCAGATGCTTTCAGACACGAGGAACACTCCTGCAGGAACAGAAAGATTAGCTCACTTGGAAAAACTTAGCTGACTGCAAGGAACATATTTGCACATGAAAGGTGCTGTGTTTCTCTAACGAACTGTGTTTTCGAGCTCAAAGTCACCACCAGAGTCAGGAGATAAGCATCTCTGCTTAAAGCAGGCTCCAAGCATTCAGAGGATTCTGGGGATTGGAACCGATCGGTATTTAATCCATATAAAAAACATTTTCTGCTGCTGAATATGACTGGAAGTGAGAAGGAGACAATGGTTAATTTGCTTTTATATTATCTATGAACTTCTAGTTCGCAGTTAATGCAGGGCAGATTCTCACTCTTACTTGGTTCTGGGGGACTTCAGTCCCGTGCCTCAGAAAACACTGGTTCATTTGACCAAAAAAACTGCCATTCAGAAAAAAACAGCAGCATAGGAGGAACATGAAAGCAGTTGTAATGGTCACTGCAGGTTTAGAAAGACAGAGGCTGGGCAGACCTTGCAGGGTTCCATCCTCCTGAGCCATGGAAGAGCTGTGATTCTGAAACTGCCAGTCTCCTCTGGCATCTTGCTGGCCCAGGAGTAGTGACACAAGGGGAGATGAGATAAATACATGTTCTCTCGTTCATTTAGAGAGACAGTGTCAGTGTGGGAGTGTCCAAGGAGCCACTGGGACAGGTATTGGTGAACTCAAGGAACACAAAATGTCTGTTTACTTAGGTCTGTGATAGTGAGTTATTTGACATCTTGAGTTTATTCATAAACACACACATTTTAGTGCCCTGTTTCAACAGCAGAGGAGTTGCATTGTAGGGGAGGTGGACACCACAGAGAGGAAGAGATTTTTGGAAACCAATGTGAATTGGGCAGAAAGAGAAGATCCAGAGCAAAAGCAAAGGCTAGATAGCTTATAGACTGCTCAGTTTGAGGAGACTAAGAGGAACACAAGTCAGCAATGCAGCTGAACTGGGTTAAAATAAGGAAGTTCAAGTCTGAAACTGGAATGGAGGCAGAGACTGAGGAGAGTCTCCTCACTGACTTACAGGGAGAGGGAAATGGTGTAATGAAAGCTGACCTTTGAGTGAGGGGTCTGGTGAATGTTGGTGTTCCCATTATTTATCCCAATGGAATTCTTGTATTCTTCCCCACTGAATGGAAAGGGTGTGTGCTCTGTCTGTGGATGGAAGGATCCTCAGGAAATGCTTTGAGTAGAAGCTGTTGAGTTTTCATTGTGGAATGCTGAAAAATACATTGCTGGATGTGTAGGAATTGGAATGTCAGTGGAGGAAATTCTAGCCCTGACTAAGTGGGAGCAGATGAAGGAAGAGCACAGACCTGCCACTATAGGTTAGGGTTTAGGGGTTACAGCACTGACAGGTTAATGGTTGGACTTGATCTTAGAGGTCTCCTCTAACCTTGATGATTCTATGAATCTATGATTCTGTGACCAGCAGCTCTGCAAAGGTGACCCAGTCACCTCTGAGGAGCAACAGAAAGACAACCTTAGGCTGTACTGCAGCCACACTGGGCAGGCGAGTGCGTTGACACTGCCCCCAGCCTTGCGTGACTCCTGTGCCACACTGCTCTAACCTCAGCAGACAGGCCTGGGCGCAGTCCTTTACAAATTACTGGGAAGACTCTCTGTCTTCAGTGTGAATTTGACAGGCTCCCAGCAGAGCCTGAGTTTTCTTTCTATTTTTAGCGACAGCTGTGGAGCTGTAGTCAAGAACTGCTTACATAATATTTCAAGAAATGACAGCAAAGCACAATGGCATATTTTGACCTTTGGCATGAGATAAGTAATTGGCAGATTAAGTTAATTTTTATTCAAGCAGAGCGACTTACTTTTTACTTGCCTGTGAACTCCTGTACCTTCACACAGGATTAAACGTCATGGGCAAGTTTCAAAGATAGGTTAGGGTTTGTTGCCCATCCTTGTCTCTTTGGTGGCCTCTCCACGTGAAGGAACACCTCTCTCCTGCTCTCTGTCAATGACACACGGCGCATGGTATGTACCTGTGTATGTGTGTGTGTGTGTGTGCATAGGCACCTCACAGGAGGGGAGGATTCCTAATTTCATCACTGTCATTCCAGCAGAGTTACAGCACAGTTGGAAAACTCAGCTAGAAAATATCTTTGTTGCTGTGTAGTGGAGGAGTCAGTTTCAAGACTTGTGGCTCAGTGAATGTTCCCTGTTCCCTTGCAGACGCTGGGTTATGGGCAAGTCAGAAAGCCAGATGGATATAACTGAGATGAATACTCCAAAGCCAAAGAAGAAACTGAGATGGAGTGGCCTGGAGATCGGGCTGGCTGTGATGGTGCTGCTGCTGGCCATCGTGGCCATCACCATGATCGTCCTCTATGCCACATATGATGGTGAGTACACACACTCTGCCTGGGAGTGCACAGACATGGCAATATGGAAGGGCTTTAAGATACTATCTGAAGTGTAAAGCTGCATCCATAGTTCTTACTGCTGGACACTGACACAAAACTGCTTCTCTCCAACTGGGATTCAATACATTCATTAATTCGCACAAGGCTGTGGCAAACACAAACCAGCTGCTAGTTCTGACTTGGGAATACTTCTGTTTGCAATTAATGCTTCGGTAAGCAAAATCCCTACAAAATACAGCATGGCTGAACAAAGCCAAACCCCAGGGCTTCCTTCATGTTCCTGTAGGTGTATGGAAATCCTGTTTTTCCCTTTGCAGGCTGTTGCAGCAAGGACTGTCAATGAGTGCAGTCAGCCTGAGAGCTTCTGTGCCTCAGCAGCCAGAGCAAAGTGCTGGAAACTAATTCCATTCAGGGGTAAACAGCCTGATCATTTCTGGAAAAGATAATACAGAGAAGCTAAAAGTTCCATTTGGAGTCAAACTAGAATGTTTCCTTGTATTGGGAATTAAGTACTTTGTTTCATTTGAAAGTACTTAATGATTTTGTTTAAGCTTTTTGTTGAAGTCTAGTTCAGTTATGGGATGGAAAAGTGCCATTCTGAAATGAAAAATAAAAAAAAAGTTTTATTTCTAAAGTCTCAAAAGGAAACATTTTCATGTTCCTGAGCCCTGTGTTTTGTTTAGAAAACTTCAGAGGGAATGTCTCAGAATTTTCATAGAATTCCTCCCAAATCCCCTTATCCCTGTAAGGTACTGCTGAATTCAAACTGCCTTTGCAGCTGTCTCCAGTCCATGTGCTATTTTTCTCTAAATATCTTCTTTGCTATAAAAATAGTTCTTTGCCACCTCCAATTGATTGATAGGACATTTTCTTCTGGTGACTACAAAAATTCCACATGATGAGTGACTAGCGCTGAATGACCCTAAAGGGATGAAGATGATGGTATTTTTAGAGCCTGATCCTATAAATATTCCCTTACTGAGTGTAAGGTGTCCATTCACATTCATCTTACTGTACACTGCAATTAAACTGACTGTCAATTAAAGTATTTACAGTAGGGTTTATTATATTGAACATCAGTAAAGCATTCATTATATCATTGTGTTCTCTTTCAGATGGGGTTTGCAAGACAGCAGACTGCATAAAATCAGGTAAGAATGAAAAGACAAACCTTTGCAATTAATTGATGCATTTAATGTTCCCACCTAGCTGCAGACAAGTATGGCATCTGCTATCCCAAATGGTTTTCTTACCATAGTTCTTCCACAAGTGTAAAATCTTGTGCTGTGATACTGTCAGGTCTAACAAAGTCATCAGGGTGTGGCTAGTGTAAGACTTGAACTCTCTTGAAAGAATGCCCCCAGTGTCAGGAAGTGCCTGAATTCAATCCAGATGGCTCTTTCCCACACCCACCTCCAAGTCAGGACTCACAGCAGAGGCTGTGTCTAACGAAGGGACACTGCTCTTTGTGGAGCTGCAATATTCATCTTCTTGTCCAAAAAATTTCAGGTTTGATCTGAACTCTACTAGAAAGCTATTGCAATCCATCAGAGAAATGCAGAGCTCCATGCTGTATATCCTTGTTATCCACATTCTCCCTTTCCCCTCACCTGTAGCTCTCTTAGCCTTTCTCTTTTCTCCTCCACATCAATTAATGGCTTCCTTTTTTTGGCCTAATTTACTTCTAAATCATACAATGATATAATCACAGAATGGTTTGGGTTAGAGGGACCTTAAAGACAGTACACTTCCACAGGGGCAACTCTGCTTTCTCCTTTCATGCCATTTTCCATGCTCAAACAGTTGACAACTCTTCAAGCCCTTGCAGAATCTTCTCCAAGGCAGGAGGAGAGCCCAACACTGCCAGTGTAGAATCACCTGCTGTATCTGTGTACCCCTGTAACAGGGCTTTTTTGATTGCGTTTTTCTGGACCCTTGTGATCACTCTTTGGTGTTACTTTCTGGCAGTCACTCATTCCTCTTTTGTTTTCTCTACCCCTGTAGAATAACTTGGCCACAGAGTTCACAAAGGCTGTGGCCTGGTCACAGAGGGTGCCAAGGGATCTAAAACAGAAGCTCATGCCATGGCTCATTTCCCAGCACCCCACCATGACCTCTCAGCTTACCAAGCAAACACCTTGCATGTTGTTCAACCTTGGTAACCTCCCATGGAGAAGCAGCATAAACATCCTAATGGCTCTGTGTTATCTTCCTGTCAAGTGGAACACGTAACTCTTACGTAGATTCTCTACATCATGACTGGCTCCTCTGGAACCTAAGAAGGTTCAGCCCTAGGAAAGGGGGTGAGGAGTCATAAAGGATTTGACAGTCAACATGCAAGATAAACAAACTCGCTTGCAAGCAGAAGTGTATGGAATTTCAGTGCAGCTGTTAAGGAATCTGAGGTACACAGCATCCTATGGGAGACTCCCAAAGGTTGTGATTCATAGGCCTCATTTAGACTTGCAAATGTACCAGAAACAGCATAGAAAGGTCATTAGATTGGTTTCCTTGCTTCCATGGGACTATTTGTTTCAGGTCTCACTTTGGACGGTAGCCAAAGCAGCTCAGGTAGTTGCCCCCACAGTCCTGCTGGAGTCACCCACTGGTCAAGCCCCAAGGCAATCCATCATCTCAGCTTATTGTCATCAGCACAATCTAAAAGCAGGGCTTATTTCAGGTGCTCATCACCCTCTTTTCATTACACTTCCAAGGTGTTTTTCTCCTCCTATGAAAGCTCACACTGTGGTTTGGGAAATGATCAAATTAGTTATCTAGTGGATTTTTTTTAATGCTCATTTTCAGCTAAACACACATATCTGCTGAAAGGAGGAAAAGCAGCAGAAGGTTGGAGGAATGAGGCACAATGTAACCTGAAGATCTAGCAAGAAGTGGCTAAAGTAATTAAGCAAAATAGTTTTACTTTTTATGCTTCCATTAGAAGATTTAACAGCATTTATGCACAGAAAAAGAATGAAGTGAAGGTACTGACAGAATTGATGGCACATTTGAGAGAAGAGCTTCAAATAAATGACCTGAAGAACAAATGGTATGAGAGGTCAATTGGTCACACCCAGGACACAACATCAGTAACTGCTCAGTGGTGTTGTCCATGGGTTTGTGAGGTCCATTGCAGTGTGGCACATGCAGACACCATGTCATTGTACATTGGAGCCTTTCTTGAGTAATCTGACATAGTCTGCATTTCCCTGAGCTGAGAGCACAGCCTGATGAGAGCAGAGGATTTTGCTCTCTCCTCTCAGTTTCCCCTAGGTAAGCATATTGTGCTGCTCCCATTTCCTCCGCAGGTCACTGGCTGTTCTGCCAGCTTATATTGCTTTATTAGTAAGCTATTAAAGCAACAACTGGCAATCAGAAGCACCACAATAAGATTAATCTTTAAAACTAATTGAGATAAGGCTCTGCATTCTCCAGTGACAGGTAGGAAAAACTGAGTAAATAAGTGACAACAGCACAAACCCGAACACCGGTTCATGGAAGCAGGATGAGCACTAATGAAAAGCACACTGCGTATGGTCTGTATTTGTACATGGATAAATTAACTTGGATTAGAGGTGAACTAACAAAATATTAATAGCATAATCACATTTCCCTGATTTCAACATATCTGTGGTATCAGCCCAATAATGAATGGTTATCTTGGGGTTCACGTGTGCGAATTGCACTCTTGAGGGGAGTATTCTTCATGGTTGTATCAATGCATGTATTTCACAGGCAGCCCTAAGGCCACAGTTCCCAGGACCAAGCTCTTTCTGGTGCTTTTATAGTGTTCAGACTCCAAGTTTTGATAAAATCTGGTTAGCTCCTATTGTCTGGCCTGGACCTTCTGCCAGCGAAGTTATGATGGATGATTACTTTGGTGTGACAGTGGTAGGCACAGAGGATGAACCACATACTGACTCCAGGAGAGTAACCCTGATTCCACAGGTCAGGCCTTGTTTGATATTACACAGACTGTTAATGATTTCTCAGATTTACACAAGATGTCGATTTCTGCTGCATTTCGTTGTGTTACTTTTTGAAAAGTGTCAAGACAGTGGATCAGAAACACCTTTTCTTGGTGTCTGAATGTCTCTCTGTCCTACTGTTACTGTCTGGCCGTGCTGCACACTGCTGTGGATGAGCCAGCTGAGGTGTCCACTCTTGGCTACTAAAGTCTTTGTTGCTGGACTGACACATGCCAAGACAATCCAAGGGTTGTGTTGCCCTTTGGATGCATCTCCAGCCTAGCAGAAAGATTCAAAGGAACACCCTCAAAACAGATGTTAGGAATAATTACAACCTTCCTATTTCACAGCAAAGAGATGGAGCTAGAACAGGAATAAAGTGCACCATTCAAAACATTCCCCTTTCCCTAAATGAAACAGGCAAATGAGGCAGAAACCAGTGCCAGAGCTCCCACAGTGCCAGAACAGGTGGGGCTGGAAGTGACCTCTGGAGGAGGAGTCACACTTAGTAAAAACATGACTGAATTTCTCAGTCTCTGGCTGTTGGCATGGCCCTGTGCCCTTCAGACTGAAGTAATCCTGAAGCCATTGGTTACGGAAGGAAAACCATCAGGTTCTGGGCTTTGTACCTGTCTCCACAGTGGGAGAAGAGTTTGAAATTGACAATGCACATGTTCATGGCTTTTTCCATCTGCCAAGCACCAGAACACTGTAAAACCATCTAGATGTTGTTCTAGAATATAACAGTCTTAAGCCAACTGAAAAATGAGGGGAGGCAAGTCAACAGCCCAGACTGTCTCTCCACCTCTCATCTCCACCAGCACAAGAGACATGGAAAATATGGAAAGTACTGGAGAAAAAACTATAAATATTTGACTGGCCCATGTGGGAGGAATGAGCACTTGAAATCACAAGCCTCACATTTACTAAAAATAATGTCTGCAAAATAGGAAGGATATTCACTATCCTGGGAAATTTAGAGGTATCCCTAGCTCTTGCCTGACTCCTAGGATGTCTCCTTTCTGTGAGAGGCTCTGTGCTGGCATACTGATGGTGGAAGCAGTTTGGGTGGAAAAGGAAAAAGCCCTGAAGGTTTATGGACAGCAGAGGGAAACTGTCATCAAGGAACTGGATTTCAGAACAGTCAGTGACTGGTTAGGCTTGGACAAGACACTTCAAGAGGGTCAACAGGGAGAGTAAGAGGCACTATCAATTCTAGAGTAAAATGTGGAATAGGTCTAAAAAATGAGTGTAACTTCAGGAAAGCATCAGTAGGAAAACTTTCCTGACAGGAAGTGAAACAGTCCAATAAAGTCATTATTGAAATAGACTGGATTGAGCTGAGCCCACGTCACACTTAATTACCTAAATTACACTACAGTGGATACTTAATCTCTGCTATGTCTTGTGCTTTTAATGTCTCTTTTCACCCTATTCAATAGGATAAGTCAGTAAATGAAACATCTTACATTTTATTTAGAACTGAGTGAGCACTCACAGGGAGCAGGAACATCAGTCACTTTACCCATCAGTAAACACAGGCAGCAGGAAAGTATGGAAGTTGTGGGCAGTAAAGGAACAGCAATTCATAGAATCATAGAATTTTTAGGAGTTTAATGTCTCTTTTCACCCTATTCAATAGGATAAGTCAGTAAATGAAACATCTTACATTTTATTTAGAACTGAGTGAGCACTCACAGGGAGCAGGAACATCAGTCACTTTACCCATCAGTAAACACAGGCAGCAGGAAAGTATGGAAGTTGTGGGCAGTAAAGGAACAGCAATTCATAGAATCATAGAATTTTTAGGAGTTGAGTTGCAGCTTAGAGATCATCCAGTCCCAACCCACTGCCCTGGGCAGGGACACCTCCCACCAGAGCAGGTTGCTCAAGGCTTGATCCAACCTGGCTCTGAACACTGCCAGGGTTGGGGCAGCCACAGCCTCCCTGGGCAACCTGTGCTAGTGTCTCACCTCCCTCACAGGAAAAACTTCCTCCTAAGATCTAGCCTAAATTTCCCCTCTTTCAATTTGTACCCATTCCTCCTTGGCCTGTCACTGCAGCTCCTAACAAAGAGAAGAACAAGAACATTCCTTGTCTACTTCGGTCTAGAACACTTAAGCAGGCTTGAGCCTATTCTAAACTAAATATGACCTCTCAGTTCAGAGCAGACAAGTGTATTTTGTCTAACATACCCTACTCCTTGTCTCCGCTGCAGCTGCACGAATCCTGGAGAACATGGACCCCACGGCACAGCCCTGTGAGGACTTCTACCAGTTTGCCTGTGGGGGGTGGCTCAGGAGGAATGTCATCCCCGAGACCAGCTCCCGCTACAGCAACTTTGACATTTTGAGAGACGAGCTAGAAGTTGTTCTCAAAGGTCAGTGGGGTTTGTTTGTGGACTATATATAAAGTTTCTTCCTTGCATTACATGTTACCCAGAGAAGTTGTGGTTTTCTACCAAAGCTTAAAATACTACCGGATTATTTCAGGGGTTAGTGGTTGGTTCAGGACAAATCTACCCCAAAGCGTTTGCTGTGGGAGTTACACTGGTGTGTGACACTGCAGCAGAGCTGACCAGACCTGCACTCTCTGCAGGGCAGTGTCATTCCCCTCAGGCACTAACAACCCCAACCAGGCCAGGTGAAGGAGGAGGAGTTCTGCCTTGTGTCCATGTCAGCTGAAATGCCAGGAGCTGCTCCCTGGCAGCCCTATATCCTGCATATCTGTATTCCAGCAGCTAAATCCCAAAAGGCAGGCAAGCAATTTTCTAACTGGTCACATCATAAACTTACCAACATTCCTTTCCCCACAAAATGCAGTAGTGTCAAATTGTCCATATTCCTCTTTTCAGACAAAAATAACAAAGGCAAAGTCAGTTTATACTCATGAAACACTCTCCAAACCACTCTCTCCATATCCTTTCTTTACTCCACCTATCTCCTGTTTTTGCCAGCTCTCTTCACATGATAAGCCTGGTCACCTAAACACTGTCCCTGAGAAGTCAGAGCATTAGTCTTTCACCAAGGGTGACCCACAGAGTATCTGCTGACTCCTTTACATTCAATGTTTTAACACAGACTGATGTGTTTGCAAGGCAGATAAACTCCAGAGCTTTTTCCCCTCAGCTTCTGAAAGGCAAAGCCTCCCTGGAATTAGAGCTGGACATGGTGTACTTATCGTCCACCCTCTGGTCCTCAGGGTGATATCCACATGGTTCCCTCAGTATGTCTCCAGCAAAGCTCAGGTATTACAGTGTGTTTGCTGTGTGTTTCAGATGTCCTCGACACACCCAGCACTAACGACATAGCAGCAGTGCAGAAGGCAAAAACTTTGTACAGGTCCTGCATAAATGAAAGTAAGTGTCTCCTGGGCTTATTGCATGTAGGATATCTAAATATCATCCAAAGAATCCCATCTTCAGCCAACCCTATCTGTATCCTAGTTTCTGGGCATCATTCTTCAGGAATTCTTTGTGAGACAGTTCTCAGCTTCATTATGCCCAGCTCATTCTAATATATACCATTAGTAGGGTGTAAAATGTCATGGTAACTCAATTTGTTTCTCCTCAAAGCCACCATTGACAGCAGAGGTGGAAGGCCTTTAATCAGCTTATTGCCAAGTGTGTCTGACTGGCCTGTAGCAACATTTAACTGGGAAGCATCCTATGGTGAGTCAATCTGTGCTTATTTCCTTTTAGTTAAAACATTTGAATGTATTTTCATTGCTAACCAGAACTAGAGACTGAGCCTACCTCTCATTTGCTTAGGTACTTCTTGGAAAGCTGAGACAGCAATTGCACAGCTCAACTCCATGTATGGAAAAAAGGTCCTGATTAATTTTTTTGTTGGCACAGATGACAAAAACTCCACAGCACATATCATCCACGTAAGTCCCTGGGTGCCTGGGCCTTGGTGATCATAGAAGTGCAGCAAAATAACTGGCAGCACAGACATAAATGTTAATGAGGAGAAACAGCAGTGATCTGAATTTTGCCAGGGTATGTTGTAGCTGAATTTGTGAGCTAATGTAGTTTTCAACCTAAATTCTCTGTTTCCCAGTGCACTGTCTGTTCTGAGTTGACATCTTTGTTCTGTGCACTCATACACTATTTTCAGTGAGATGGGAATAATGGAGATGTGCAGACACACAGACACAAGTGGTGGGTTCACTGCTCAGAAATAAACAAACCTGATCTCCTTACCATGGACTTGAGGCAGAAAGCTCTCTCCCTGTCACCTGGGCCACAGTCCCAATGGCAGAGAGCCCACCAAGGGGCTGTGTTATCACAAGGCATCAGCTGCCAAAGCACTAAGGGACCTGCAGTCAGCTGGCACAGACACCAGAGTGGCATTTGCATAAGGAGTGTGTCAGTGCCCAGCCTGTCAGCAGAAGGTGATGTCTGAAGCTGAACATCCAGAGGAAGGCAGGATAACATGTGGTAACAGCTGAGATGCAGCAGTCATGGGAGCAAAGGGCCAATCTCTCCTGTCAGTGGGTAGATGGATCCATGACCACTTTGCATGGGTGAATTTCAGAGGTGCAGTAACTGCCTGGATTGTATGGGGGCTGTTTTGTCATCTGCACCTCACCTGTTTTCACACTGGTTATGAGTAGCTTGCAGTGATCAGCAACAGAGGAAAAAGAACTGAAAAGAATGATAAAAAATATAAGGAGAGTGAAAAGAATTCAAGGTCAGCAACAGGATGAGAGAGAAACTCCCCTGTGGCCAGAAGATAATTTTGCCTGAGCAAAGCATCAGCACCTGCAGTGACCAAAGAACCACACAGTGCTGTGCCATTTCATCCTTAAGCACATTTTCATTTCTGTCTGCATTTCTAGATCGATCAGCCTGGGCTGGGCCTGCCTTCTCGTGACTACTACGAGTGCACTGGTGCATACAAAGAGGTAAGGTGGAGCTGGCAGATCACTGAGGACACTGTAGAGGTTTCAGCTGTATTTGCAAGGCAGACATCTCCTCAAGAGTGGGGCTAGAGCAGGAACAGGCATTCCCCAAAGAGATTCCAGTGCTGCCTCTGGGAAACGCCACTGGGAGAACTGGGGAAACTAGTATAGAAGGGTGATAATGAGAAGCATTTAAACAAGGTTGGTCTGCAGGTGAGAACATCAGAACAGACTTGAGAAAGTTCTAACATGGGTAAGTTTGCAAGGAGGCAAGAGAGCCAAAAGGGAATTAAATGAAGAGGAATAGGGAATGAGGTTAAGGGCAAGAAGAACTGTTAGCTGAGAATGGGAGGGAGTGCAACAGATGTCCTGAAGATGAGGTGTTACAGTATTATACCACAAATGCTAGTGACCTTGTTCATCTGCCTGGTAGCACTAGGAGCCATGGGGGTTTGTCTGGGCTCCAGCTGTCAGGGTGTACCAATTCTCTGCACTGGATGGTAAGGCTGCATACCCCTCTGGCATCCCTACACTCTGACATCCCAACCTGTCTCCCATTCTCTGTCCCACTCCCTTCTCTTCCATTCCTCTTCTAATACCTGAACATATATGTGGAAGGAAAGTCATAGCTTTTCCTCACAATTCCTGTGTGATTATGAAAATCAGAAGAGGAATGGCTACTTGACTTTTTAGGATCTCTTGGAAAGAAATAGACATGAAACAGTTCAGCTTTGTTACGCAGCTTCTGCCAGGCTTCACCACTGAATCCAGAGGTACCCCCTCACTGTCAGGTGTGGTAATATGGAATGCAAGTGGTTATGGATCATTTCTGTTCTGTTACTGCAAAAATGAGGCAGTTTCTGAACTGTGGCTGCCTGGCATCGACCAGCAAGTGCTGCAGTTGGACTAGTCCTATCAGTAATAGGAAGAAAACCAGAACAATTCGGTGCCAAATCCACACTTTGCTGCATGAAAGATCTGAAAAGATCACAGGACATATATCAGCTGCTGAGCACAAACACAACAGCTAACAACTGTGATACCACAGAATTGCTCAGATAGCTGAAACCTCATGTGGTCTCCTTTAATTCTTGTTTAGTCATTACTTGTGTGTGGTCTTGTTAACCTGTTAGCACTGACACTGTATCCCTGTTGCTAATCTTGGATATGCTTCAAGTCCTTGAGAGCTGGAGTGTCTGTGTTTGCTGAAGTCACGGAGCTGAAAGTGTCACCACAGTGACCTTGAATTAACCACTCTTCTTCTGTGTAATTAAATGCAGGAGCAATGAAGGAGTGTACACACCATTTTGGGTTTATAGGTATTTTGCTGATGCGCCAACAGTTAATACTGGTGACATTTAATTGCAGATCACATGCTTGCAAAGACAATCACTGCCATCTGAACTGGTCAGCTACATGATTACCTGATGTGTGATGGCCTTTAAGAGCTGGCTCACACACCAGCCTGCTCCCTTCCTTGTCTTACGTCAGCTGCAGCACTAAGAGGCTATTCTGTTCTATCTCTGACCTACCTGAGTATCAGTTTTGCACTGCTGGAAAGCAGAGGAGGAAGTATTCTTCAAAATCAGCTTTATCACTGCAAGGCAGATTCCCAGTGCCTTACAAGTGAGAGCTGTTCCCCTTCCATCCCTGCTGTCTGACAGAGCCTGTTCTTGGCTCAGGTTCCTGCTTTGTCATTCCACTCTGAGCTGGGCACAGCAAACTCAACTCTGCCTCCTGCTCTGTGACCTCTGCTGTCATCAGGACTTCCCACCCAGAGCTACACGTGGAACATGTCAATAGATCATTTAAAAACCTGTTTCTCTTGTGAGGTATAGGACTGCTCTGCTCAGCCAGGATTGATTCCCCTGAGATATCTGAGAGCGTTTATACACTCCATCTGAAATTGGCTGACTGAGTTCTTTGCTACCTGACCTAAGCTGCACTTTAGGGCAAAATTAAAGTCCACTGATTGGTACCTGAATATCTCTGTTGACTTACTGGTCTTGAGCTAATAGCTGTATTGAATTTGAAGATGGTATTTACAGGCTTGGAATGCTGTCAGTGGTTTCATGGGCTTTTCCCTTTCTGCTGCAATTATCTATCTTGATTACAAACAACACTGAGAGTGCAGTCCTGGAGGCTGCTGTGAGCCCTGTCTATGCACTCTGCTGGCAGCACTGGTCCTGACCTGCTCTGAGAGTCCATACACCCAGCCAGGTACAGCCTGGCACTGCTGCTGGCAGGGAGGGATGCCCAGGAAGGGAGTTACAGAGTGGTTGGACATGTAGGTCATTTTTAAAGGGATGTGTCCTGCTGCCTTAGGAGCTGAACATACCAAAATATTTCTGCTAATAAAGTTGATGACATCCACACCTTATTAATCCTGGGTTTAATTATTCCTTCAGTAGATTACACAATTTTGCCTAAACCAGATTTATTATTTGAGGGCTAATCTAGTATTATGTGTTTTTTAATTTGCATTGAAAAAGAGTATTGAAAACAGCATTTCTGCTGATAGAAAAATGAGTGTGGCTTATCAAAGAGGAATTAGAATAACTGAGTTCCATAGATACAATATGGAAGTTGTTATTTATAATAAAATATAAGAAAATATAAGATCTGTAGATATTTGACTGTGACATTTCAGAGAATTTACTGCCATATTTACATTCTTATACCTGGTGAATTCTTTTATGTTAAATTCAATATATACTATATTGTCTGTGCTATACCTGACTTTGGGCACAGCAACATGATTTGTAGCTGTTCCAAGAAGCACTAGAGGAGGTTCACTGCTTCTGGGAGTCATTTTCCCACAATGCTAATTCCCTTGGTTTCTGCTCCTGGGAACACTGTGCCTTGGAAGAGATATTTTTGGAAGTTGTAATTAAAGTGAGCTAGAAAAAACATGGGTGAGGGTTTAAATATGGATGTACAAACGTCTCATTTTAAATAATGAAAACACAGTGCAGCCATTGAGGGTGTTTAGCTTTGAACGCTGCTCCAATTACACTGCAGAGCTCCAGGAGGGAATAGTCGAAGCTAATTTCTAGTTGTGATTCCACAGCATTTCAGAGCAAAATCAAACTAAGGGATGAAGAACTGTAGTTCATAAAAATGAAGATGAAATCTTGAAGGTAATCAAGGTCTGCTCTGCTTTGAAGAGTTTTGTCTTTAAACTGTTCCTATTTTTCCCTGCAGGCATGTTCTGCCTACGTTGATTTCATGATTTCTGTTGCTAAACTAATCCTAAAAGAAAGAAATATTTCTGCCATTGAGAGTGACATTTCTGCTCAGATGAGAAGAGTTATGGACCTGGAGAAAGAGATTGCCAATGTAAGAGAAGCATCTTTAATGCCTCCTTTAAATAACTGACTTTTTTCTTAACACCTAAGAAAGTTAACTGTAAAGTGAGTTGTTAACTTACTTGCTGATATTATTTTGTGGGACCAAAGATGTATAAAGCCTGTTACCCCTAAGGAACACATAGTGATACAGACGTGCCATGTAACAACGGAAGATGTTTGAGTTAGCTGTTTACCAAAGAGCACAATGTTTTATCCTGATCTGTCACAGAAGTTCTGCAAGAGTAGAGAGAGGCAGACCTGGGTACTGTTTGATGTGGTTCAGAGTGTGAGTTCTGGGAGATGCTTTCAGGCCTCTCCTCCCTTTGTCCCATTCCCTGTGGGCTGTTTGGATCCCAGAGCAGCAGATTCCCAGCCCTTGGCCTGCCCTGAAACACAAAGTCATGTTTGTGCTGCACAAGCTGCTCCACAATGCTGATTGTTCCAAGGGCATTTCTAATCAAATGCTGTTCTCCATTAAAAGAAAAGGACAAAGGAAAAATCATATCATGAGTTTGACTCTGGAGAAACAGTGAGAATGTGAACTTGCATGGAGAAAAACAAGTGGGAATTGAGGCATTCATGAGCAAACCATGGCTTATGGTTATTAACCATTTCAGCAGGGCCTGGAGCTCAGGATGACAGTGAAACCAGCTGAATACATATTTTATCGCTTCAGTTGGTTTTCAGGTTACACTGATAGTAAGGGCATGTGTTTGGTAAAACCTTCCTTTCCCCTTATTTTTAGAAACTGAAACCATCTGATTTTTGACTTAATTCACATTTTCCTGGGAAACACAGCTCTGGGCTCAGTCAGAGATGGAAAACTATTATCAAAACAGGAATTAATTGGAGACAGATTTAAAAGAAGAGCATGAAATGAACACCTGCAGTGTCTCTGCAGCAGTTGCTGCTGGTGGAGTACAGGTGGTGGTGGGAAGCTCCCACTGCCTTGAGTTCTAACCTTCCATCCAAAACTCAGCATCAGCTTGAGTGTGGCATTGTGCTTTGGGGATGTGTTAAAAACACACAGAAAAAGTACTGAATGCACCATAGAATGGGAAAGAGGAAGCAGAAGAGCATAGGGATAAAATGAGATGACATGGCTGAGTTTTCAGAACACTTTGAAGGGTGAAATCTACTCATCAGAATCATTAAGAGCACTCAAGGCACCAGTGATGGAGGTTCTCCCAGGAGTTAGTCTCATGGACCACAAGATCGCTCTTTCCCCATAACCATTTGTGAAGCTGCATTTTCTCTCTGCCATCCAAAAAGTGGAAGTTATGGGGTGGAGTGTGAGTGGAGCAAGTATTGATGCTGTCCCAAGGTGCAGCTGCATGAGCCAAAGGTGTGAGAAAGGACAGGAATACACCTCAGAAATCAGAACATCCTGGCAAGGGGGACATGAATGTTTGAGGGAAGGAACAGAACAATATCCAGGACTCCAAGGAGAGTTACCGTCGGGTGCTGGTTTGGTCTCCTTGTCCCTAATTCCAGAGCTGCCTGCTGACCCTTGCTGTGCAGGGCCCCCAGTGATTCCTGTGCCTCACAAAGCCCCAGCACAGGCTCAGGGCTCTGCATTAGGCACTTTCCTTGTCCGGGACAAATGGCCTGAGCCGCTGTGCCATAAGGTGTTGCTGTATGCACATATTTAACTCACTGGTGCAAAGCCACATTGCCCAAGTGACACAGAGGCTGGGTGAGCTGTGAGTTGTGGTTCCCTGGCTGTACTCTGGGCCCCATCCTCAATAAATACATCTCCTTCCCTCCCTTCTCCCAGGGCTTTGCACCTTGTCCCCATTTCCGTGGAAGGTACTTCACAGTGAATGCAAATTTACAGTGATGTATTAAGGAAGAAATACTTTCCTTCTTTCTGTTTACTTCTGCTTACCATATTTCCTGTGAACTGATTCAATGTACTTAGTAATTTTCTCACAATTAACTCTGATAGGCAACAACAAAATCTGAAGACAGAAACGATCCACTTCTGCTGTACAATAAAATGACTTTGGCAGAACTTCAAAAGAACTTCACACTGAGGATCAATAATAAGGTGAGTGATCAAGACTCTGATATTTTAACCTCTGGTTTATCACTGACAGGATTAAACAATGAAGCCTGACTTTTTTTTTCTGTTAAAGACATTTCTTTCTTAAGATGAAATGTAATTACAATTGAACAGGACATGCACAGTCTTACCTAAACATCTGATGACACTCAACTGATGTACAAGACTGTGCTTCTGTACCCAGTGTTTCCCCTAACCTGGAGGCAGATCTTGCCTTCTGCCTCAACATAGAGAGATGGAAAAGGACAAAGGGAAAAAATTATCCAGTGGAAGGTGTCCCTGCCCATGGCAGGGATTGGAACTAGATGATCTTTAAGGTTCCTTCCAACCCAAACCAGTCTGTGATTCTACGACTTAATCCTCATGGTTTCAGGATGGTAAACCTGTGAAATTTGCACATACATAACCCATGCTGGAAATCAGGAGAGCATCCTTTGCAGAGTACAAATAAATCCCATTCCCAAAATTCCCATGGCAGCTCCCCAGGGCCCAGGACAAAGGTCCAGCCTGTAGCCACCAGCTAACTCAGGTATGTTGTAGTGGAGTACTCAGTTCTCTGTGTTTATCCAGAGCTGCAGGTTCAGAACAAAAAGTTCAACATTCCCTTGGTAAGAGGCTCCCAAAGCAAGCAGAAAGGAGCCCAGGAGGTCAGGACCATGGATCAGGCCAGTTGTTCCCATCCCTCCCACTGCAGCTCCCCCAGGATGTGTCAGCTCTGCCTTTGCTCTCACCCTGCCCCACATACTGTTTGTGCAGTGCAGGCTTTAATTCCTGGCACACCCAATCCTGGGGAAAACCAGCCAGAGGTTTGCTACCATAGGTGTGTCTCCTCAGGAACATCATGTCTTGTTAGACATGGGTATATTTTATCCTAAATGACTTTCACTTCAGTTCCCTGGCAAGCAGAGTGGCTCCTAGGCCCCAAGGCAGCTCTGGCTGGCAGAAGTACTTTATTGAGTCTTCTGAGGTGCTGTGAAACACTGTTATTTCTGCCACACTTTCATAATCACTGCCATTTTATTGACTTTAAATTCTTCAGCTTTAAACTCTCTGACAGTTCCCTTCTGCCTAGCTTAATTGGTTTCATAACTCACCTTCTCCCACAGGTGTAGTTGGTTACCATTACAGTGATCATGACAGAAACCAACCTCTCCTGTCACAGAATGCTCTTGCCCTGGTTATTATTAGTTCCTGGGGGGTGCTGCACATCAGCAATAACTTAAATTTATCCCAAAACGCTCAAAAGACACATGATGGGAGTTGGTAGTAGTGTTGTCATGGTCTAAGGATAGAACAGCAATTATTCCCAGGATTAGCTTGAAGTTTGCTCCTTCTCTTTCAGACCTGCAGTGATTCTGTTCCTCAATGCTTATCTGCTCTCCTCAGCTATATTCCTGTGTCTGATGGAAGACATTACCTCTTCCAATAAAACTTTCCAAGGGTACAGGCTGGGAAAAATCAACACTTTTCAAAGCAAGAGGCAGAACAAAAACTTTAAAAACTAACAAAAACTTGTGTTAGTTTGGAATCAAAGCAATGTCTCAACTC